GCACGTCTCCTGGGTTATTGTTGCAGACATCTTGCCAGACCAGCCTCCAGGGACAGCAGCTTGGAGGGCAGTAGTCGCGGCAACAGCCGAGAAAACAGCAAAACCAGGATGACGGAGTCCCGTCCTTCACCTGTAGAGAAAGCCCCGTCACCACTAGCCCAGGAGTTATCCAAGGCTGACATGGAGAGGAAAACAAAAGCCATAATTGATGAATTCCTGCATCTACAGGACATAAAAGTAAGGGGGAGGAGAGCAGAATGGGGTTGGGGAGGGATGGGGAATGAAATATGAATAGTGGTTGATCTTGTTGAAAGTGACTGGTATTTTCACAAGATATTTAAGGGCGCATTCCCATAGATTTTAGATTGATCTATCCCCATGGGGAGTCTCACTAGATTACTGTCAGATAATCCGGCTTAAATGCCCATCCTGCCTAGTACAAGCTGTAAGGGGGTAATTTACTTTCGTGCCCGCTCGGCTGACAGCTATTTAGCGTGAACCCCCAGGGAGTTAGGTCGATCTAGTTGGATCGATTTTATCTCTGGGAATGGGTCTTAGTAGACCTCAGTAAGAGTGTTGTGTAATTGAGAAAAAATGTTGAGTATGAAGTTTGTTTACATATTAAAGTGAAACCCAAGGAAAAAAGTCATTGTTAAGTAAAATATAAAAAAAACAAGGGGGAAAAATTATCGAAAGTTTGTTTGCAATAATCAATTCTATGTACAGAAAATGAATGGCTAATACAATGATTTCTTCTCCCCATGCCAGGAGGCCATATTATGTGTGTCAGAACTGAACTCACCAGGAATGATGCATCATTTTGTTTCCACCGCCCTGAATCACGTGCTAGAACGATCAGTGCAGGCGCGGCGGCACACGGGCCACTTACTGCACGACTTAGTCAAGCAAAAGTACCTCACCGTAGATGCTTATCTTAAAGGGTAAGTCTTGCCTCTTTCTATTTTTATCTCTCGCTTGCTCTAGAAAAAAAAATACAAGTTGAAAGGAAACAATAAATAGAAGAAATGGATTTAAAAAGGATGTTTGCTCAGTTGGATGACTTACAATCTCATTCAACTAAATTTTGTAAATTAATTTTTCTTCTATTCTTCACAATGAAGTTTGAAAGTTGAAAAATATGTTAGAAAAATAAACTTTTTCTTTATTGAGAAAAGAATATTTTCTATTGCTCTGTCAGGCTCAAAGAAATCCTAGAATTTGCTGAGGACATGGAGATTGATATTCCAAAGATCTGGGACTACCTTGGGGAGCTTATAGGGCCCATGGTACAAGATGGCAGCATACCCCTCAGCTTCCTACGTGACGCCTGCGAACTTCTCGTTGTGAGCAACAAGGCCGGCACGCTGATTGCTGCCGTGCTCCACGACGCGAGTCATAGATTGGTGAGTTCGGATACTCAGGTATACTAGGACGGGGTTTGTGATTTCTCTCTATGTTCTGGCTGCAAATGCCCCTCGCTGCACTAAGATGCTTCGCCTGCTGAAGCTGGGGAGGTAGCATAGGGACGAACTGTTGTCCAATCCCAGTTTTAATAAAAAGCAAAAAATTTCACTGGAAATGCCTGCTCCCCACCCTTAAAATTAAAATTGGTGAACTTTTCAAACATGGTCTGATAAATTTGGTTTTTGACAAATAGTGTTTTGAAGGACTATTTCAAGATAATCCTCACTATTGTTCTGATAAATTGGTCTTGTCTTGGTTGCTCATGCTGACCCCTATAACTGTGCTGCCTCCTTTGTCTAGCAACGTATGTATTACTTTTGTATATTTATTTAGTATTTTGTAGTGATTGTAGTCTTATGAAGCTTGATGAAAAAATGACGTAGGCCATTTGATGTTGATTTGAATATAAGATGAAAATCTGTTTTGCATGGTTTTGATATTGATGGTAAACTTGTGGATATCTGTATTGGATGGAGTCGATGTAAAAAGTCAAAAAATGTGTTCTGCACGTTTTGTGTTTGGATTTATCTGTGGATTTTACCTTTGAACTTTTACTGATAGATGTAAAAGGTAATATCCTCCCCCCAAAAACTTTTTAAAGATTGTTCTATGACCTTTTCTAAATAAAAATGTATTTAAAAAATGTAGATATGTGGAATATGATGCATGTCAAGAAGCATGTTTTGGCGAAAAACTGATGTTGCTGTCTTGAAAACGAATGATTTATGAGTAATTACCACATATTGAAGTAACTGCACTCAGTGCATGATATGTTTGTTTTATAAAGAAAGAAAATTTGTGTCAGCTTTTTGTGTTAAAATATTAGTGTAAAATATGGTGCATGTGGATTTTTGTAAGTTTGTTTTAGCTGAGACAGTAAGATTGATGTATGTTACATTTTGAAATTTCTAACTTAGTAAAACTATATTTTATCTTTATTTTTTTATTTATTTATTTTTTATTTATTTATTTATTTATTTATTTATTTTTAGAATTCATTAGAAATAATTCAAAAGTGGCTTTGATAATTTTGCAAGAGCTTGGCACAGCCTAATCACTAGTTAATTTCATTGTGACAACTTTAAGACTCTGCAGTAGCCAACCAAGACATTTCCTAAATTCTTGCAGGATGAATGGAATTAAACCAATAGGGCATCTCGATTCTGTATTTTAGTTACTGCTGATTCTTCTAGTTACTTGACTCTGTGTGAGGCCTATTCTTGAAAGTTGGCAACTTGTAAATTTTCCGTAGATCTTTTGGGCCTTGCAAAAGTTAAGTTTCAGGGGGAAAAAAGGAGAGTTACATAATGAAACTTGTTGCGTACATTTCTAGAACAGGCCCCTTGCTTCATGTTGTAATTAACTGTAATTAACTCTAATTGAATTTTTTATGTAAACTTTTGAATGAAGTGTTGCTTTAACAAAAGTCCACATTTTAACCCCAACAGGGTCACATCAGGATAGGCGAACTGTGGGCCGCGTCTGGTCTGGCGTGGACGGACTTCCTGGCCAAGGGCTGCGACGTGGAGGCATTTGTGAAGAAGCACAAACTGGAGTTCCTGACGAGTCCCGAGGTCCAGTCACCCAAGCCAGAGAAACCACTCACAGTGGAGCAGCTCCGCGAAGGGCTCAGTGAGATCTTGCTGAAACGGCAAGCTGAAAATGATGATGTTATTGATTGGATTGAGGTAGGAGCAACTCCAGCGCCATCTATTTATGCTTCTTAGTTTGTTGTATGATAGATGGATATTGAAGAATTACTTTGTGTAAAGATGGATGTTGTTCTTTATATTTGATTAAGATTTTTTTCTCATTCAGCTGTTATTCTAAAATTTAAGTGTTTTGAGGATATCAGGACAAAGGATTTCATATAGATGGCACTGCAGTATGTGAGGTGTATTATCCCCTGTGGAACCTAGATGACAGCTGCTTTTTCTTACTCAATTAGATTTGCAACTAGACTCCGTGAAAGTTGATGTATTTGTATTTTTCAGGCCAAAGTCCCAGAGTCTGAAACCAAGAACCCCCAGTTTATCAGAGTGTTAATGACAGCAGTCTGCCAAAGTGCAATACAAGGTAAGGCAGCCACCGGCATCACTCCTTCAACACATACATATATACATTTGACTTTTATATAGCAATCGAGTTCCTTTCAGAAAAGACTGTGATATTGTGATTTTATAAAGTTATGAAAGGTTTTTCATCTTAAGAAGGATGCATGTTATGGCTCTCATATTATTACTAAGATTTCCCCCCCCCCCCCTTTTTCCTAAGCAGAATATCTGTGCTGTTGGGAGATCTGTCTGGTTTATGTATTTCAATCATTATGTATCAAGTCATAAAAAATATCCAGATTGAATTATATAATTGCATCTTCTGATAAAAATCATTTCAGGAACTGGCTCCCATGCCACGGTGAATGAGAGCGAGATTGCCAAGCGTGCATTATTACTGACCAAGTATTTAGACAACGAGGCGGAGCTCGAGCTTCAGGCCCTGTTTGCACTCCAAGCTTTAGTTCACTCTTTAGAACACCCTCCCAGTAAGTACATTGAATAATATAGAAAACATAATAATAATAATAATAATAATAATAATTTTATTAGGTAATTTAAAGAAAAACAAATTGATTTCGGCACATAGATCTTAAAATAATTATGTTACTTGTATGTCATTCAATTGCTCTACAGAACTTTTTTTTAGCTGTAAGTTGATTGGATATTGGTACTGTCATAGGTTAACAATTTTCCAAGAAAATTTACCTGTATCATTTCTGGATCTTTTACCAATGTTTAACTCCCAACGTTTTCTCATTCTCTAACCTCATTTTACTCCATCTCATTTCCAGTGATGCTTCAAAGATTTTTTGATAAACTCTACGATGAAGATGTGATATCAGAAGACGCGTTTAACCAGTGGGATAGCAGTACAGACCCCGGGGAGCAGGAAGGCAAAGGCGTGGCACAAAAATCTGTGGTACAATTCTTTACTTGGCTAAGGAACACTGACGCTGATACAGCAGAAGCAGATTAATGAGAGGGAGAAAAAAACTTAGAGGATTTATAAAATTCTGCATCTCTGTTGATGATGGTCTTTGTAATTCAGCGCCGTATGATCAGTGTATTCATTTATGTGTTACTATGACTACTGCTTCCATTCAATGGGACTCTGGCGAGGACCCAAGATGTGACGCTGAGAGCGCCAATGTCAAAAAAACCCAGATTCCTTGTGCATTACTTCATGCAGCGTCCCGTACACTTGGATTACAAAATAAGGAGAAACTTCATCGATTCTAGAGTCAAAAACTATTTGTGGCAACATGGTGCTATTCTCTCCAGGTGACGCATTCGTTTCATATGGTATATAGACATATATATATATATTTATTCCCAAGGTTTGTGAAGATCATGTCACAGACACTGGGCATTAAATGTTCAAAGGATGATTGTTGTGTATGCATCAAACATTTTCTTTTTGCTACACAAAATTGAGTCTGACTGACTCGACATTGTTGCAATTTCCATTTTTTACGAGGTTAAGGGCTTTTTTCACTCTATAACAAAAACTTATGGATAATCCAGAGACAAAAAAAAATTGAAAAACGAAAAACTTTATATATATACACACGCATATATAATGTTGTTGATCCTCTGAAGGTTTTAAAAAAAACCTTGGGGAGGGTGTAAAAATTGAATGTGATAAATTATGATACAACTAAATTTAAGAAATTCAGGTACATAGACGCCTCATGTGCCTAGTAATTTATTGGAATGGCATTGCAGGATGCGAGTGGTGCAACTAGCAGGTGATGTTTAAGCTAGTAATTGTAAGGACAATTCCGTATATTAGTTTAACTATCATTTTCAAGATGGCTGCCATTGTTGTCTTGCAGCAGCTGAGGTTTAATGCCTATTCGACCCCCAGTATTGGGAGTAAATATAATTGATGTAGCCTTCGTGGGTGTCCGCTACAGGCAAATTACCAGTTGTATTGATAGAAATCTGCTCAAGTTACGAGCCAAATGGGAGAGGAAGAAATTTTTCCTTCACCATTTTCAAGTGAATTCCTTATGGAGAATGTCTTGCAAATAAACAACAAAAGAGAAGATTACACAAAGAAATAAAAGATTGTCACACCCCTGGACTTCAACAAAGCAATATGGGGATGTATACCAATTCACTGGATATCCAATGTGACATAATTAATGTGCAAACTTAGTGACCTTGAGCGTAGTATGACCTTGACCTCTGACCTGGAGCTGCCTACTGGGTGGGTGAAAACCTTGTGCAAAACGGAGCTGTGTAAATAAATGAGAATTAAAATGGAAATTTATATTGGTCTTTGTGTTTGTTTGTTACTTTGGCATTTTTTTTCTGATATTAAAGATCTTGTGGTTCAATTCAAGCTTTTGAGAATACAAATTTAAAAGCAGATTAACTTAAATTATGAATTTTTCACATTCTAATTATTTTCTTTATATTTAATTACCTGTAAAGGAACAGCATACTAAATCATAAGGAAAAATAATTTTTTGACAATTTTGGAAGAAAAAAAAATTGTATCCGCCGTATATAGTTATACGGCTTTCATGCAACCAGTATAAGAACCGTATAAGTTGCACAGTTTATCCAGTGTATAGTGCTATATGGTTAAACTTTGTAATTCTTGTCTTAAATGTATTTTTTTAACATATAGAAAAAGGTATACCATGGGTAATGTTGTCTTGGAAAGCCTTGCATTTTAAAAGAGCAAAATAAACAGGACCTGTCCAAATTAGTTGTAAAGAAGACCGACTTTGGTGTAAATTGGTCATATTTCACTTAATTCAGTTTAAGTTTTGAGAGAACATTGTCAAGATCTGCCACTGCTGACAAAGAAAGTACAGAGAGTGGAGGGAGATAACATTGCATGAAGAATGATCAATTTATTTACAAAATGTGTATACACAAAGAACAGCACTGACACATGTCAGTGATTTATCTTACAACTTGAAATGTTTTTCTTTTTATAAAACATTTTTTTATGTCAAGAATTATCTTGTTTTACAGTTCTTATCAAAGTCTGGTTATGTTACTATATATACACTTTCGGACCTTGTGAAACTTCATTCCTGACTAATTTTTAGTTTTGTAGAATCATCACAGAACTAACAATGAATTTACAGAACAGTAAAATATTTGTATTTTTAAATGGTTTGAAACATAAGGTGTTCCAAAAATTTGATTAGGTGAAATTCTTAAATGTATATCATAACAACATCCCTTGTCTTCATCAAAATTGTAAAGGTTGTAAAAGATATTATGTAAACGACATGATATCAGCATCAGATAATTTTGCACGATCCTTCAGAGGTGTGTTGGCTGAGCTTTCATAAGTCTCAAGGACAAAATGAATCATTAGTTGTTGTTGCTGTTGATACTGTCAACAGACCACACATAAAAAAACATCTGTTCGTCATCACTGAAAATGAGGCAATTTTGTGGAGATGGTAAATTCATGGTCATTATTTTGCACTTCTCGGAAAAAATTTCCACTGGCAAAAAACTTTTTAATGCCTCAAGTGCCTGTTTACAAAGTTATTTCGCTGTGTGTACAGTTGCCATAGCAATATATACCCAAGGCTTGAAAATAATGCCACAGAAAAACATACATTCCTGCTAGAAAAATTTTCTAGAATTGTTTGTCAACAAAGCATCCATCATTTTTTCCCCTCAAATTTCTCTCATGCCTCAGTTAAATCATCATTGAAGTACAAATGAATGGCTTGAAGATAGGTATCATCATTCATCCTCAGCTGATAGAATTCCTCGTCTTCGTCATTGATGCCGTTTTCCTCCAGAGTCTTGTCCATCTCCAGATTCCTGCCGTCGTACTTCCACGTGTAGCTGGCGGCATGTGCGTTATACGTCAGGTAGCGCGTCAGAATTTCCTGCATGATTTCCTCTGTGCAAACCTGAGAAATTGATTTTTTTCTAGTGAATTTTTCAAAAAATGTTTGATGGTACATTTTGGGGGGGGGNGGATTTAAAAAGGATGTTTGCTCAGTTGGATGACTTACAATCTCATTCAACTAAATTTTGTAAATTAATTTTTCTTCTATTCTTCACAATGAAGTTTGAAAGTTGAAAAATGTGTAAGAAAAATAAACTTTTTCTTTATTGAGAAAAGAATATTTTCTATTGCTCTGTCAGGCTCAAAGAAATCCTAGAATTTGCCGAGGACATGGAGATTGATATTCCAAAGATCTGGGACTACCTTGGGGAGCTCATAGGGCCCATGGTCCAAGATGGCAGCATACCCCTCAGCTTCCTACGCGACGCCTGCGAACTTCTCGTTGTGAGCAACAAGGCCGGCACGCTGATCGCTGCCGTGCTCCACGACGCGAGTCATAGATTGGTGAGTTCGGATACTCAGGTATACTAGGACGGGGTTTGTGATTTCTCTCTATGTTCTGGCTGCAAACGCCCCTCGCTGCACTAAGATGCTTCGCCTGCTGAAGCTGGGGAGGTAGCATAGGGACGAACTGTTGTCCAATCCCAGTTTTAATAAAAAGCAAAAAATTTCACTGGAAATGCCTGCTCCCCACCCTTAAAATCAAAATTGGTGAACTTTTCAAACATGGTCTGATAAATTTGGTTTTTGACAAATAGTGTTTTGAAGGACTATTTCAAGATAATCCTCACTATTGTTCAAACTCTAGCTTGGGTTCTGACTATATGCCAAGTTGTCCATGCCATAACTGCATTGAACACCTGTTTTACAAGTAGATCTTATTCTGATAAATTGGTCTTGTCTTGGTTGCTCATGCTGACCCCTATAACTGTGCTGCCTCCTTTGTCTAGCAACGTATGTATTACTTTTGTATATTTATTTAGTATTTTGTAGTGATTGTAGTCTTATGAAGCTTGATGAAAAAATGACGTAGGCCATTTGATGTTGATTTGAATATAAGATGAAAATCTGTTTTGCATGGTTTTGATATTGATGGTAAACTTGTGGATATCTGTATTGGATGGAGTCGATGTAAAAAGTCAAAAAATGTGTTCTGCACGTTTTGTGTTTGGATTTATCTGTGGATTTTACCTTTGAACTTTTACTGATAGATGTAAAAGGTAATATCCTCCCCCAAAAAACTTTTTAAAGATTGTTCTATGACCTTTTCTAAGTAAAAATTTATAAAAATTGTAGATATATGGAATATGATGCATGTCAAGAAGCATGTTTTGGAGAAAAAGTTGTTGCTGTCTTGAAAACGAATGATTTATGAGTAATTACCACATATTGAAGTAACTGCACTCAGTGCATGATGTGTTTGTTTTATAAAGAAAGAAAATTTGTGTCAGTGCCCTTGTGTCAGCTTTTTGTGTTAAAATATTAGTGTAAAATATGGTGCATGTGGATTTTTGTCAGTTTGTTTTAGCCGAGACCGTAAGATTGTTGTATGTTACATTTTGAAATTTCTAACCTAGTGAAACTATATTTTTTTTTTTATTTTTTTTTTTTTATTTATTTTTTTTTTTTTTTTAGAATTCATTAGAAATAATTCAAAAGTGGCTTTGATAATTTTGCGAGAGCTTGGCACAGCCTAATCACTAGTTAATTTCATTGTGACAACTTTAAGACTCTGCAGTAGCCAACCAAGACATTTCCTAAATTCTCTGCAGGATGAATGGAATTAAACCAATAGGACATCTGTATTTTAGTTACTGCTGATTCTTCTAGTTACTTGACTCTGTGTGAGGCCTATTCTTGAAAGTTGGCGACTGATTTCATGCTTGTAACTCTGGAATTTTCCTAAATTTTTTGGGCCTTGCAAAAGTTAAATTTTAGAAAAAGAAGGAGAGTTACATAATGAAAATTGTTGCGTACATTCTTAGAACATGGCCCCTTGCTTTATGTTGTAATTAACTAATCTATGAAATGTTTCTCTAATTGAAATTTTTGTGGAAACTTTTTGAATGAAGTGTTTCTTTAACAAAAGTCCACATTTTAACCCCAACAGGGTCACATCAGGATAGGCGAACTGTGGGCCGCGTCTGGTCTGGCGTGGACGGACTTCCTGGCCAAGGGCTGCGACGTGGAGGCATTTGTGAAGAAGCACAAACTGGAGTTCCTGACGAGTCCCGAGGTCCAGTCACCCAAGCCAGAGAAACCACTCACAGTGGAGCAGCTCCGCGAAGGGCTCAGCGAGATCTTGCTGAAACGCCAAGCTGAAAATGATGATGTTATTGATTGGATTGAGGTAGGAGCAACTCCAGCGCCATCTATTTATGCTTCTTAGTTTGTTGTATAATAGATGGATATTGAAGATTTACTTTGTGTAAAGATGGATGTTGTTCCTTATATTTGATTAAGATTTTTTTCTCATTCAGCTTTTATTCTCAAAATGAAGTGTTTTGAGGATATCAGGGCAAAGGATTTCATATAGATGGCACTGCAGTATGTGAGGTGCATTATCCCCAGTCGAACCAAGATGACAGCTGCTTTTTCTTATTCAATTAGATTTGCAACTAGACTCCGTGAAAGTTGATGTATTTGTATTTTTCAGGCCAAAGTCCCAGAGTCGGAAACCAAGAACCCCCAGTTTATCAGAGTGTTAATGACAGCAGTCTGCCAAAGTGCAATACAAGGTAAGGCAGCCACCGGCATCACTCCTTCAACACATACATATATACATTTGACTTTTATATAGCAATCGAGTTCCTTTCAGAAAAGACTGTGATATTGTGATTTTATAAAGTTATGAAAGGTTTTTCATCTTAAGAAGGATGCATGTTATGGCTCTCATATTATTACTAAGATTTCCCCCCCCCCCCCTTTTTCCTAGTCAGAATATCTGTGCTGTTGGGAGATCTGTCTGGTTTATGTATTTCAATCATTATGTATCAAGTCATAAAAAATATCCAGATTGAATTATATGATTGCATCTTCTGATAAAAATCATTTCAGGAACTGGCTCCCATGCAACGGTGAATGAGAGCGAGATTGCCAAGCGTGCATTATTACTGACCAAGTATTTAGACAACGAGGCGGAGCTCGAGCTTCAGGCCCTGTTTGCACTCCAAGCTTTAGTTCACTCTTTAGAACACCCTCCCAGTAAGTACATTGAATAATATAGAAAACATAATAATAATAATAATAATTATAATAATAATAATAATTTTATTAGGTAATTTTAAAGAAAAACAAATTGATTTCGGCACAAAGATCTTAAAATAATTATATGTTACTTGTATGTCATTCAATTGCTCTACAGAACTTTTTTTTAGCTGTAAGTTGATTGGATATTGGTACTGTCATAGGTTAACGATTTTTCAAGAAAATTTACCTGTATCATTTCTGGATCTTTTACCAATGTTTAATTCCCATCGTTTTCTCATTCTCTAACCTTATTTTATTCCGTCTCATTTCCAGTGATGCTTCAAAGATTTTTTGATAAACTCTACGATGAAGATGTGATATCAGAAGACGCGTTTAACCAGTGGGATAGCAGTACGGACCCTGGGGAGCAAGAAGGCAAAGGCGTGGCACAAAAATCTGTGGTACAATTCTTTACTTGGCTAAGGAACACTGACGCTGATACAGCAGAGGCAGATTAATGAGAGGGAGAAAAAAAACTTATAGGATTTATAAAATTCTGCATCTCTGTTGATGACGGTCCTTGTAATTCAGCGCCGTATGATCAGTGTATTCATTTATGTGTTACTATGACTACTGCTTCCATTCAATGGGACTCTGGCGAGGACCCAAGATGTGACGCTGAGAGCGCCGATGTCAAAAAAACCCAGATTCCTTGTGCATTACTTCTTGCAGCGTCCCGTACACTTGGATTACAAAATAAGGAGAAACTTCATCGATTCTAGAGTCAAAAACTATTTGTGGCAACATGGTGCTATTCTCTCCAGGTGACGCATTCGTTTCATATGGTATATAGACATATATATATATATATTTATTCCCAAGGTTTGTGAAGATCATGTCACAGACAATGGGCGTTAAATGTTCAAAGGATGATTGTTGTGTATGCATCAAACATTTTCTTTTTGCTACACAAAATTGAGTCTGACTGACTCGACATTGTTGCAATTTCCATTTTTTACGAGGTTAAGGGCTTTTTTCACTCTATAACAAAAACTTATGGATAATCCAGAGACAAAAAAAAATTGAAAAATGAAAAACTTTATATATATACACACGCATATATAATGTTGTTGATCCTCTGAAGGTTTAAAAAAAAAACCTTGGGGAGGGTGTAAAAATTGAATGTGATAAATTATGATACAACTAAATTTAAGAAATTCAGGTACATAGACACCTCATGTGCCTAGTAATTTATTGGAATGGCATTGCAGGATGCGAGTGGTGCAACTAGCAGGTGATGTTTAAGCTAGTAATTGTAAGGACAATTCCGTATATTAGTTTAACTATCATTTTCAAGATGGCTGCCATTGTTGTCTTGCAGCAGCTGAGGTTTAATGCCTATTCGACCCCAGTATTGGGCGTATATATAATTGATGTAGCCTTCGTGGGTGTCCGCTACAGGCAAATTACCAGTTGTATTGATAGAAATCTGCTCAAGTTACGAGCCAAATGGGAGAGGAAGAAATTTTTCCTTCACCATTTTCAAGTGAATTCCTTATGGAGAATGTCTTGCAAATAAACAACAAAAGAGAAGATTACACAAAGAAATAAAAGATTGTCACACCCCTGGACTTCAACAAAGCAATATGGGGATGTATACCAATTCACTGGATATCCAATGTGACATAATTAATGTGCAAACTTAGTGACCTTGAGCGTAGTATGACCTTGACCTCTGACCTGGAGCTGCCTACTGGGTGGGTGAAAACCTTGTGCAAAACGGAGCTGTGTAAATAAATGAGAATTAAAATGGAAATTTATATTGGTCTTTGTGTTTGTTTGTTACTTTGGCATTTTTTTTCTGATATTAAAGATCTTGTGGTTCAATTCAAGCTTTTGGGAATACAAATTTAAAAGCAGATTAACTTAAATTATGAATTTTTCACATTCTAATTATTTTCTTTATATTTAATTACCTGTAAAGGAACAGCATACTAAATCATAAGAAAAATAATTTTTGACAATTTTGGAAGAAAAAAAAATGTTATCCGCCTTATAAAGTTATACGGCTTTCATGCAACCCGTATAAGAACCGTATAAGTTACACAGTTTATCCAGTGTATAGTGCTATATGGTTAAACTTTGTAATTCTTGTTTTAAATGTATTTTTTTAACATATAGAAAAAGGTATACCATGGGTAATGTTGTCTTGGAAAGCCTTGCATTTTAAAAGAGCAAAATAAACAGGCCCTGTCCAAATTAGTTGTAAAGAAGACCGACTTTGGTGTAAATTGGTCATATTTCACTTAATTCAGTTTAAGTTTTCAGAGAACATTGTCAAGATCTGCCACTGCTGACAAAGAAAGTACAGAGAGTGGAGGGAGATAACAATGCATGAAGAATGATCAATTTATTTACAAAATGTGTATACAAGAAGAACAGCACTGACACATGTCAGTGATTTATCTTACAACTTGAAATGTTTTTCTTTTTATAAAACATTTTTTTATGTCAAGAATTATCTTGTTTTACAGTTCTTATCAAAGTCTGGTTATGTTACTATATATACACTTTCGGACCTTGTGAAACTTCATTCCTGACTAATTTTTAGTTTTGTAGAATCATCACAGAACTAACAATGAATTTACAGAACAGTAGGGGTTTGAAACATAAGGTGTTCCAAAAATTTGATTAGGTGAAATTCTTAAATGTATATCATAACAACATCCCTTGTCTTCATCAAAATTGTAAAAGTTGTAAAAGATATTATGTAAACGACATGATATCAGCATCAGATAATTTTGCACGATCCTTTAGAGGTGTGTTGGCTGAGCTTTCATAAGTCTCAAGGACAAAATGAATCATTAGTTGTTGTTGCTGTTGATACTGTCAACAGACCACACATAAAAAAACATCTGTTCGTCATCACTGAAAATGAGGCAATTTTGTGGAGATGGTAAATTCATGGTCATTATTTTGCACTTCTCGGAAAAAATTTCCACTGGCAAAAAACTTATTAATGCCTCAAGTGCCTGTTTACAAAGTTATTTCGCTGTGTGTACGGTTGCCATAGCAATATATACCCAAGGCTTGAAAATAATGCCACAGAAAAACATACATTCCTGCTAGAAAAATTTTCTAGAATTGTTTGTCAACAAAGCATCCATCATTTTTTTCCCTCAAATTTCTCTCATGCCTCAGTTAAATCATCATTGAAGTACAAATGAATGGCTTGAAGATAGGTATCATCATTCATCCTCAGCTGATAGAATTCCTCGTCTTCGTCATTGATGCCGTTTTCCTCCAGAGTCTTGTCCATCTCCAGATTCCTGCCGTCGTACTTCCACGTGTAGCTGGCGGCATGTGCGTTATACGTCAGGTAGCGCGTCAGAATTTCCTGCATGATTTCCTCTGTGCAAACCTGAGAAATTGATTTTTTTCTAGTGAATTTTTCAAAAAATGTTTGATGGTACATTTTAAAAAATTTACTTGCATGTACTACGGGCTATAAGACTACTAGTGCTTTTTTTCTGGATTATCAAAGCTTTTTTTTCTTGGGGGGGGGATTGAAATAAGTTTTAAAAATTGATTCCAAGTATTGCAAAAGCATACTTGTGTCTTTAAGTGCTTATGAGAATAATGTTAAAGTTATTTATCCAAACTGCAAAAAAATGTAAAGTTCACTTACACACTGTATTCAAAACTGATTTAACTTTTCAAAGAACTTTAAACACTGAACATTGCATACCTCAATAGTTTGTTCCTGTGATGTTAATGTATTGATGATTTTAACAAATCGGGTTTTCTTTGAGAGAATTCCTACACAGTATGTCTCGTCTTTCCACCACGGCCTCCCAAAGTCGTTAGCCCAATCAGTGGCCGGACATGGCGGAGGAATGTGTATGAAGCGACCATGAGGAGTGTAGGGAACCAGGCATCCTGTGATTGGATCAGCATGAGTGCGAATCTGCATTATTAATAATAATAATAATAATAATAATAATAATAATAATAATAATAATAATATCACTAAATGATAATAAAATTGGGAATGGAATTCTTTTTTTCTTTTAAAAATTCAATATTTTGCAAGAAGTTACATTACCATATTGATTCCAACATATGCAAATGGTGCACAATGTTACAAAAATTATGTGCTACTGTAAATTTTAGAAAATTATACCTGTTGTAAAACATACTTACATCCTTTGTTTTAGGATTAAACCAATGTGAAATATCTTTTCCTGCCGCTTCTATAATTGGCTTCAGTAATATTTGACCTGGAGATTGAAATGGGTCCTTTATATGTGTTATTAGCAAGATGACCGACAAACCAAATTAACTTGCACTTCAATCACTCACATTCACAATTAATTTCAATTTGCAATTTTGTCTGGCGAAGAGTTAGGCAAAGCAGTAGCTTTTATCGCAGTACTTGACACAGATAAAATCTGAGATTGAACTCGGTTGTCATAAGATGTTTTAGTTTTCAAAAGTTATTTTTCGTGCCTCAGATAAGATTTTAAGTGACATATTAGGAAACTGAATTTAAATACATTAATACAACCAGATTCATAATTTCATATATACTGTAGAGAGGATAGCAGAAAAAAGTACTAACCCAATCCGACTTACCTTTATATTTTTCGCAAAGTGACGTTAAATCGTAGACTTTTCCCAAGAAAGAAACCCACAGATCTTCCAACGTGTTGTGTACTGCAACCTCATTTGGTGTGTAATACTTAAAACGACCCATTTTAGAAAATGTACACGGCTTCACCTTCTCCTCGCAGGTTGTGTATTGTTGCTATGACGTACAGCGGAAGTATCTTCTGCGCATGCGGTAGTATCGGTGGCCAACTATGGCTGGCGAGTCGAAGGTAGGAAATGTGGAGAATATTTAAAAGTTTTGTACTTGAATGTTATGTTTAAAGATACAGATTTGAAAATTTGGACTCAGGTTTCTGAAATGAATCCCATATGTAGAGCTTAAATCTGAAATTGTTTGTGTTCCAGAACATATCTGAAGCCGAAGAAGAAAAGTCTGCAGGACGTAAGAAACTTGAAGGATGGTTAAATAAAACCATGAGGATAAGAATGACTGATGGTCGAACGCTTGTTGGTAAGTATAAGATCACATTTAGACGTTTTCCGAAAAAAAGCCTCATGAATATTTGAAGCCTAATTCATTTTTTATTTTATATTCTTATCTTTTACGTCGAAAAAAAGTTGGAATAATAATTCTTATTTTCTTTCATCAGGGGTATTTCTCTGCACAGACAAGGATAAGAATGTCATCTTGGGGTCTTGTCAGGAATACTTAAAACTTCCAGGTAAATGTGGAATATAAGAAGGTTACTGAACACAAGCAAAGAATTATAGTGGCCATACCACCTAGCAGCCAGTGATGAATAACATTTTCTCACATCATTCTAAGTTTAACCAGGTTGGCTGTAAGCTTGTGCTCAGTAACCTGAAATTTATGCAATACAACTACCATGCTAAGGCACGTTTTTGCACAAGGAAAAATCATAAATAAATATAATAATGAAAAAAAGTAATAAGAACTTATTTTTACAGTTTCTTTTTGTTGTTGAATAATTATAGTTGTTATGATTCCAGTTTAAAATCATTTATCTTTGAATAACCATTAATGATAATCTTAAAAAGTGAGATATATTGCATAAAATGATCAAAAGGTTTAAGTTTGGTTTAGAGATGTATTTTAAACATTCTCACCGCGATATGCCCTGCTAACAGTGTAAAGTAATGTGTTCCTCAGTAACATATATCTCATTAACATTTCAGAGAGTGGCGAACAAGAAGATCCACGGGTCCTGGGTCTTGCTATGGTGCCAGGGCGCCATTTGGTGTCAATAGAAGTGGACCAGCAGCCTGAGATCATGTGACCATCACCATGACAATAGAGAGGGACATTTAAAGAAGTGCTCAGGGATAAGATTATTTGAAGGATTCTTTGACTTCAGGGAATTTTATTTCTCTGTTACCCATTGTGCCAAAAACAGTTTATCTACTGTCCCTTTCAATCACCAGGGTCTTGGAATCTAAGCAGAAATATTGAACAGTAGTTAAACATGTTTATATCATTTATGGCATTGGCATGGTCATTGTTAGGAGAGAACTGTCACTTCTCTGCAAGTAATGATTCTGAAAATTCGCTGATTTCAGTGAATTTTAATTTTTAGAAAATTTGGATTCCTGACTGGAATTGACGTGGGATCTTAGAATTGATGAGATGTCACAAATGACTGGATTGAATAAGAACTGAATGTGGATTAAGAGCTAGCGGAACTCCTATGTAAGAAATTTGAAACACAAAATAGGGTTGTAGATCCAGATTTCTTCAACAGATTTAGTTATGGTATACATAATACATGGCAATTGAAGTATGTAGTTGACACTACAAGAAAACTTAATTTTTTTGCCTTAAACTTTTAAAGAGGAGTGCAAGAAGTGAAGCTGCTTACATAACTATACCTATGGCATTTCAATTGATTTTGAAGTTAAAACTAACTAGTGAATTTGACCTGGTGGTATTGCTCATATATTGATTGTACCACTATAAAACCAACATTGAGCCCAATTATAAAAGTGTAATAAAACACCACTTGATAAAATTCTGTAATTGTTGCAATAGTTTTATCTGAAGAAACATATATTTTCGCTGAAAATAAATGTCAAAATATATTAATCATGTCATGCACATTATATTTCACCCCAGGATAGCAATTCTGAAGGAATTCCAATTCCATATCCTCAACATCTAACTAAAAAGGCATTATAAACACTAAATATTAGAATATACTGAAAGAAAAAATTCAAGATAAAGAAATTTGAAACCAGGATTCATAAAGCTATGGCAATGCCACTATCTATGCTTATGGGGTGCTGGAAAGTCCATACTATATGTATTAATATCAGTCTTATCTTGATTATTTATGCAACGTAATCGCTGAAGTATCGGCAGATATCATTTGTCAAATGGAGTGACGTCACAGTTATATTTGGACATGACATCACATGATGTGTTCTTCCGCCAAAATTTTTGAGGATGCGTAGGATAGATGAATAAATGGGATGATGCGTAGAACTGTGTATTTAAAAACTTATTAGACAGCAATAATCAAAGACCAAGTTATTTATAAACTATATTAAGAGGATTCGTAGGAACGACACACCAGGAACTATCTTTCAGCATACCAGTATTATTCCGCGTATTTTGTAAACAATAAGGAAGCCATCTTAGCAAGTCCAAGAATTTTATCGAAAGAGAAAGGAAACAATCAAGCGCCACATAGTTAACAATTTGCTAAAATGAAGTGGGAGTATAAAGAGGACCATCCATTTGAGAAGAGACGGGCCGAGGGAGAGAAGATCCGAAAGAAGTACCCAGACAGGGTCCCCGTAAGTATTGACATGGAATCGACGTTTGAGAAAATTTTCTTTCTATTCTCCAAGTGATTTGGTTAAATTCAATGTTTCCTTGTTATGGATCCTTACCCATTTGAATCCCTACTAAAATACGCAATAAATAACGTTAATTTGGTAGCAATTGGTTTGGCATTTAACTCGATAATGTATTACCATCTATCATTATTAATGACTAAAATGTCATGTGATTGTAAAAATCAAATTGCGTTTTTGTTTTTCTCACCACATTATAAAGCAGGATAAAAAAGAAAATAAAACAGGGGGTCCCTTTTTTAACCGGAGCAAGATTTTAAAGCCTCAGACTATCAGCTGTTTACAGGGGCGGATTTAGGCCGTCTTCTGGGTCTTCTGGAAGACGGTCAGATTTTCAAGTTTACATTGATGGGTATCTAATTTTTTCTGTTGGAAGACGGTCAAAATTGGAGGGTGAATCAACAAAGAAAATTTGGAAGACTGTCAGTAAATAGCTCTGGATCCGCCCCTGAAAGTTTAGCATGCAGATGGCTCATTAACATAAGTTACTTAAACACATGTAACTCGCCATGAGACGTTGCATCATTCACTATCATCTATATGGTGATAACCTACTTATTTTATCTTGGATACACAGCGTGACTGTTACCGTGGTCATGTGTGGGTGTATTTGGGTAAAGTTTTCATAATTAGGTACTTTGTGATTGGTTAAATAATGTTTCTTTTGAAGATGCTGCAGTTTTACAGTTTTGTGGGGGGGGGGGGGGGTAATAAAGTTGTTGTCCTTAGTTCAGATGAAATTTGAAAGATCACACCAGCAGCAAGTATCCATGACCTTTAGTTTTTTTCTGTACAATTAAAGTGAACATTGTATTTGTATGCCTTGTATAAAGAAATAGAATACTGAGAGTGTTAAGCTTTACAAGAAGTAGTATTTCATTCAAAATACTTGTACATAGTAAGGCCATAATTGTTGATTGTCTTATTTGATTTGATTTCTTATATAAACATGTACTTCTTATTTAGGTCATAGTAGAGAAGGCCCCCAAGGCCCGAGTTGGTGACCTGGACAAGAAGAAATACTTGGTTCCCTCTGATCTGACCGTGGGTCAGTTCTATTTCCTGATCAGAAAACGTATTCACCTGAGACCAGAAGATGCTCTCTTTTTCTTTGTCAACAATGTGATTCCTCCCACTAGTGCAACAATGGGCGCTTTATACCAGGTAAGGGTGGGCAAAGTCAACACTGTGGTTTACATTGTGGTAATTGCTCACAGACATAATAATCTGCATATTTTGGGATTTCACTCTTTCAGAATTTATAAATTATGATTACTCATAAAATGCTCCCAAAATTCCAGAACACTGCGATTGGAAATATTTTGTCATTCAGAGATAAATAGATTTCCATCACTTATAAATGAAAAATAGAAATAGCACCTTTCAGCTTGTTTTGCTTGCTGCAGAAGAATGATTTTATCCAGTGTTCTCAGTGGTGGAACAAGGATATTTGGCTGGCAATAGGTTTCACTGTCCAGCATATCAAAAAGAGAAAGAAAAAAACTCACAGCAACTAAAAAAAACATTAGAGGACAATCTGTGGTCACCTATCTCACTGTTATTTCATCTAAGTTGCATATCTTAATGACTCTCAATCCTTGTTTCAGGAACACCACGAGGAGGACTTCTTCTTGTATATTGCCTACAGTGATGAAAGTGTGTACGGGGCTTGAAAAGGGCGATGACCACAACAGGACTTGATTTGTATTATATCTCTTGTATATATGTGTACTCAAACGGACAGGACGGGATTGGATGGACAGTGATTATAAAGATACAGGACTAAATAAAGGAATCAAATCGTAATATATGTAAAAAAATATCATATATATATGTGACAACTATGATGGAAATCCTACCAGTTGATTTGGGACAAAATTCTAGAATTAGACTGAGAATATTTCACAATATTTTTATCAACAGTTGCCAATTTGTGATATGAATTTGGGTTCTGTTTTGATGTGAAATTGAACTGGAAAAAGATGTCTTAATATAAGTGTGCTGGTTAAAAAACAACAACAACACTGTGAATCACCAGTGTTCAATATGTATGAAACAAAATAATGCAATAGACCTTGAAAGTTGATGACAGCTTTAACAACCTAGCATTTAAAAATCCCTTGAGATAATTTTTCCCCTGAAAATACTATATCTTGTGTTACGTAGACTGAGTGTTCATCAACCAACATTATACCCTGATACTGCAGGCCTCGTGTTATGTTTATCAATACTATTGTAGAACATGTCCTTATTTATTGTCGAATAGAAGTTGCCCTCTTCACTATATAGTGCACACTATGATGAGTATTCATATATTATACTTTGTAGCCATTTTGTTGACCAAATTTATATTTCACTTTACCTGGAACAGCTATTTAACAGTTTCAGTTGTACTATTTATCGTGAAGATTTTTTTTATCAGTAAACACATTGTGCTTTTGCCACACTCGTTTGTAACACTGGATTTTAATAGCATTTGGGAAGAAGCCCGAGAAATTTTCATTCTTTGAAAAAATTGTGACCTTTTAGTTGCTGGGTTGGTGCTTTTATTACTCTGTTCAGTTAAAGGATTCATGACCGGCATCTGATCGTTTCATTCATTTGTCATTTCATGTTAGAATTGGTGGAATAAACCGTAAACCAAATCCAGCCTGTGTTATTTTGTTTGTAGTCAGTGGCTCCGTGATGGGGGCGTCTTTTTCTCTCCTTATCAAACAAAGTGGCGGTTTAGGCCCCAATGTATATCCAACAATGAAGAAAACGACCATCATAGAACTATATATATATATATATATATATATATATATATATATAAACTTGTGAAAATGATAAAAGTTACATGCAAAGTCAAGTTTTTGCCACTTACTGATCATATATAATATGAAAATAATATGCCATCACATGGTTTCAAATAGCATTTTCTTAAAAGAAATGTCACAGGCCATTCAAAGTAGAAGTGGTAAGCGTGTGGCGGGGAGACAAGCTGTTTATTACCACAAATATACATTCCATGCTATCTCACCTATCAAAAAGTGATAAGACTCGCGATTTTCAAAAGTATCATAGCATCCCGAACGATGTATCAGGCATGTAAGTGAAATGGTAGATCTCAACTATCACAATTTGGCGAATTTATCTGCAAATTATAAACCAAAAAGCTTTTAACTATATATATTGCAACCAGGACCGAGCGCGGATTTTTTTCAGATACAGATTGACACATAAACTGCAATCCTGTTCAAGTCTTTCTCTACAATTAATTTTCCTTAAGTTCAAAGTAAAATTTTGTTATCAGATATAAAAACCGATCGCATTTAAAAGCACTCTGGTGCTAAAAATACGTATCTTGGCAGATATTTGACGCTGTAATTGTTTATCACATGCGTATTATCTGAGCTATCTGCGATATTAGCCATTGTTCCTACGCCCGTAGATTTTTGTCAGAATGTGTGAGTGTTAGTGGCCCAATATGGCCATTGGATTTTTTATATCAGTTTTTCCAATTTTTTTCTGAAATGTAAATGTTACATGATTCTTTATAAAAACCAAGGTCTTGTTATTCCTAATATTTACAATTATGGAAATTTTTAGTCAGATACGCGAATCCTGATTTGGACCAGTAGATTTAACGAAAGTGGTGGTCCAAATGTCCAGTAAAAGTTCATGGCGCAGATTGAAAATAAACAATGAAAAACGTTTCCAAAACCTTGTTCGCTATATAGCAGACTTAACCTGTTTTCTCTAGTATATTTCGCATTGAATTAGTTTCTATAGGTAATTTGGTATTGCATGTTCTAAATTATCCAAATATGCCTACAATGCATGTATAAAATAGTGTTTTCTGTTGCTGACTGATAAATATATTGTGATTCCATGATAGTTTGACATTTCTGATGTAATATTATTCAGTGCTTATTTTACGACCTTTTATAAAATCTAGTGACAAGCAATCTAAAGTCGCCCCCCCCCCCCCAAAAAAAAAATAAAATAACAGAAGATTATCATAAATCTTTACACCGTAGGAGATAAATCAAAGAACAAAACCAGTGATGGTTGAATTTTCAAAGTGAGTAAAACGTTTCCACAGATGGACGTTTTGCATTTGTGACAATAACGTATGTTCCTTTGTGTGGTTAGAATATGAATTATTTTTTATTATTCATCGTTCCAGGAGAGTGAAACTTTGATACAAACTGGGGAAAATGGAAAAGGCTAATGGAATATAAGCCCCCCTCCTCCTTAACCACTCCACATTTTTTTCAAAAGCCGTTGGGGACCGTTTAATGGAGGAGTTGATTTTGACTATACAACAATGGTCAAAAAGGTTGTCCCACCCCTAATTCCAGTTTACACCAGTGACGTGATCATTTGTAAATAAAAGCACATGGAACTGGGGGTGGGACAACCTTTTTGACCAATGTTGTAGAAATCAAAATTTCTCTTTATTTAAATTCGGTTCAACCCTTTCAACCAAACATAATTCTTAGGAATTTAATAAAAGTATTAAAAAGTAAGGGACAGATTCAGCCTATAGCCAATGCGCATTTATTAATGAAAATAAACTAATTTACAAAAATTTATCCAGCTTATAATCGAACAACTCAGCATCTCTTGCGTATATGGCCCACACCTCTTGCAGCAACTTTTTATCAATTTTTTCGTAGTATCGCTTCACTAGGTCACTAGTTTTTGACGTCTGCTCGGAGGGCGGATACCTGACCACGTGATCTGCCGATATGAGACGCAGAATGTTATTGGCGTCTTCTTCAATGGTTTCGTATTTTCCGATGATGTCATACGGTATTGCACAAGGGTAAGCCAGCTCCATATACGGTCTCCAATGAACATCGAGCTGAATGTTTTTCCTATGCTCAGAAAGAATGAATTTCAAAAATTCTGTAAAAGTAACATTGGACCCTGTTTCCAATTCCGCTTTGGAAGCGTTCGCCTTGAAATTTTTCACAATCTGCTTGCCAACAGATCTCATGTAATATACGTTATCACCAGTCTCCAGTTTGTCTCGATAAGCGGACAGTATTCTCTCCAAGGGGTGGCGCACAAACATGAACTTCAAGTAATGTTTTAAACGAAAACGAACCCCGAATTTTGTGAATGAGGAAAGGAGCTGCAGTCGATATTGTATGCTACCGTGGTGGAGCTCAAACTGAACCAAGCTTCTTAGATCAGTTTTATTTACATTAGCAGACAGTACTAGGATTATCCTCTTCCAATTACTGCAACCGACTTTGGGTATGGAGCAAAAGACAATTCGGCTACGATCTTCCACATAAAACTGGCCAATCATGTTGTCATTGAAGTCTCGTTGCAGATGATACTTCTTGCACGTGTTCCTAACGTGCTGAGTGCGTCTGCGCATCTTTTCCCGCCATTCCTGTGGAACATTTTTGTTTTGACTAGGAATTAATTCCTGCAAAGAAGTTATCGTATGGATTTTAAGAAAAGTAAAAGAAAAAGAATGAACACTTTATACAATAAGTAAATATACTTTGTCAATTGTTTGAAAATAAATTAAATGACGAATGAATGAATGAATGATTAACAAAATGAAAGAATAAAAAACAGTTGGGAGGGTGAATGAATGAAATTAATAGAATGGCAGTTTAAAGGACCTATCAGAAATATAAGTATTTTTTTGCTACATCTTTAACTCCAAGTCAACACTTGGTTTATTATCGGTTCAGCCTGAGCATAAGTGAAAATTTCAAATTAAGTTCTTTTTTATCTCCAAAGAACAAAAAATTAGGCCAGTGCGTTAGAACAATATAATTACACGATATGCTACAAGAAGATAAAACGGAGTTTGTGTTGTTTTTAGGTCATGCAAATACGCCCTTCTTCAGTGTGGCTGTTTGATAAAAAACCTGATACAAGAACAAAAGGGTTGAACGATGAAGGGTTGAAGTCTTTTTTTTTTTTTTTTTTTTTTATTGACACAATACATCAAGAAAAACATGACAATACAAATATAAACAAACAAACACNCAAAGGGTTGAAGTCTTGATATTTTTGGGAATTTTAATTTTCATATTTTTCGTATGTAAAGACAGCAATGCCACTGTCAGACCTAGATGCTATGCTTTTGAATGCTCCGGCTTTAATGTGCATCGAAGAACAGTGGAAGCCACACTTAATGCCCCTAAAATCGGGGGAATTTAATAGCTCAGTACCTGGGACAAAGACCCTTTCATGCGTTATTTTGGGGCGAATAAAGTCGAGATGTGTAGCTACTCCATACACTCATATTTTAAGTATACGATCTTATTTTCCAAGCAAAAAAGCAAAAATGTCAAGATTCATTCACTAAGGATAATTTTACCCCCCCCCCCCCCCCCCCCATCAATTTTAGCTTTTCACCTTGCACTTTTGTACTCTGAAGGCGGAGTGGGGTCTTGAAAAAGTAAGCATTCCTTGAAAACTTCTGAGAAGGATTATAAAAATGGATGGCCCTAAGATGAAGATGCTATGCCAATAAAGATTCCCAAAATGAACAAATGCCACTCACCCTGTATTTCACAGTGGCATTCTGTGCAGTACTGGCACCCTGGATGCACCGTGAATCTGAAGGTAGCACGCTAAATTGCGTCACAGTGGCTGCAAGATTTCAAGACAGAAAAAAATAAAATTCATTTTCATTTTCGAAATAAGCACAATGTTTTTGCATAGTTTTTGACTCACCAGTGGGTTTTCTGCACAAATGTGTTTAGGTAAAGGCCCGTGAGCAGAATTTGCTCGAGTCCACTTAATGGTGGCCTACATTCGAAAACATTTTAATTCTCCTTTTTTTATTATTCTTATTATTCAATCAGGAATGTAATTTCGGTAATAAGAAAACATATAACAAATGTAGATATTACACAAATTATAGACTGGGTAAAGAAATGAGTATGATTAAAGACAGTATAACCCATGAACGATCCCCTTAACCATTGCAATATTTCCCCCGCTTTTTTTCTCGCTGGAACGCAGAAATTTATTTTTGGTCCTATAACAAAACTTCTAGCTGTCCCCTCTCCTTTTTACCTTCAACGAGAAAGTGCTAAACGGCACTTATACAAAAATTCAAAGAAAAAAAAACAACAAGAAATGAATCAAAAAAAGATGTTAACACCATTTTGTTACAATAGATGTTACTTGGCCTTCTATTTTCCCCTATTTAGCGTAACTAAAAAATGACGCAGGCTCGCTGCATGTAGAAATTGCCGTGTGCCCAAGTTCTGTTTACACTCTACCAGGGCGACAGATTAATTTTCCACATATATTCACAGATATGTCTCTAGATAAATAGACAGTCATTTGGTCTGATGTCTGATGTTGCTTCAGCCAAAAATGTCCTCAATAATAACTGCGGCCCTGGTAGAGGGTAAGTTCTGTTCATCTTTCACATCTGACCCAGAAGCGCTGCGTTCTGTAGCAAGTTTAGGAGGCAATCAACCATAAGTACCTGCGGCCAAACGCAAAAGTGACTTCAGTATTCATTTCAGAAAGAGTCTGAAAGTCTGGAAGTCATCCGTATTTCACGCCAAAGAAGTGCGCTTTAAGGAAACTATGGTAATTTGTACACACACACACACACACACACACACACACACAAAAAAAAAAAAAAAAAAAAAAAAAAAAAAACTAAATAAAATATTGCTACTTGCGTCGGAAAAAGCTAAAACGCGCAATGTAAGGCATGCATGCGCATCAATGTGCAGTCTTTCTTTGTATGAATTTTTCATCCATTCAAGAATGAAAGTTAGATTGAGCAATATTTTCTCTACGTAGTTAAATGGTGTGGGCGTAAACTTCATCCGGAGTTTTCCAACCCCCACCCCCCTCCAAAAAAGGGCCCTTAAGCAAACTGTGGTCTTAACAAAGGTCTTTACTCTCAGTGATGACTGTTACCGTTTTTGTTTCGTCAAATTTACATTTCTTGAGGTCCTTTTATTCTTAAAAACTCAGAGACCAACATCGTTAAGTGCTCTTTGTGATGTCAGATTTAGTTTAGCCCAAGACTGTGAAGCAAGTGTAAAATCCTGGATCGAATGCTGCAATACTTTGGCAAAGGCATTGCAGCTAATACGTTAATTTGAATCAAGTCGTTTGCAAGACACATAATGTAGAGGCCTCCATGTATGTTTCTCTTGACTTTGGAAAAGACACTTAAAGGTACATACGAACCGAGCATCGGTGGAGCGTGGATTCCCAGTAAAGCATGTAAACCACTTCTACTAGATTCTTATATGACTCAAATAAATTCGACATGCCAAGGGATAAACTGAATAGATCACTCGATCAGCCATAAAAGACCTTTAGACTGCTCCTTTCTTTAAATTTTTGGTTGTAAATTTAACCTACTTTCGTGACCTACTTTCCTGCCCCATTGACATACAGCTTAGAATGCCAGCAGAAAAATCCGTTCAAACATCATTTTCAGGTAAAATTAAACAATGCCTTTTGGTAATTCTCTTAGTTATACTACTTGAAACTATATGCTGGCATTTGGGTGGTTTTTGTGACAAAAACTTGAATTTGTATGCATCTTTAAAATGAAGGTGATTCATTTCATTTTGACGTCTTACTTACCCATGTGCACAACCAGCGTAAAGATGGCGCAAATCAAGACAGCCCCAAGTACGAGAGACAATTTGTTAACTGACACAAAGCTTGACGCCGTCATCCTGTTTGCGTTTCCTTGGCATCGAAACATATCACAAAATAAAACAGCCTTCTAATGCAGAAACTGTAACTTCTTTTTAATGCTCCACTCCTTCTTAACCATTTCTTAATTCACATCAGATTGGGGGTACTTTTGAAAGTAGAAGATCTAGTGTGTTACCAAATGTCTCTTCCTGTTAGTCAGCACAGTAGTTTTCCGGATGCCTACTCGTAAATCAGTCCTGTATCTTCCAGAATGTCTTCAATTACGAAGTATTTTCAGCAATGATATAACAAGATGTGGAAAATCTCATACGGCAAATCCTTCAACAGTCCATTTTCCCCAGTTGGTGCTGTACCAGTTCCTTTTCGCCAAAACTGCCTCGAAAAAAGAACAGGTTAGACTTTTCTGCCAGTCGCTGAAAACTTATCAGGTTGTTCGCTAATGCTGTGGGTAGATCCAGAGAGTTTCTGCGCCAATAAGCAAGATTTTCCACCTGACTGGAGACAGTCTAACCCGAGTAATATTTGGACCAGATGCGAATCCACTGATGCTTGAACTCGAGCGCTGAGCGGCGGATTTCTTTCTTTACTGACTCAGATTCCTAAGAGCTGATTTAAATCCTTTGTTTATCTTCTGTTTAACAGCCTTCCGGATGAAGATGAAAAATAATTGAAAATATCTTCCGCAGCCTCCGCCCCATACGCTCGCACCGCCGAACTCCCCTCAGCCGTAAAAAGACAGGCATATTCTTAAATTGAAATTCACTTTTCACCCAGCTGTTGTTTCGACCCTGAGCATTTTAATTAAAATGAAGCCAGACTTAAGAGCGATTTACTTAATCTCAACCTGAAAATAAACCCTTTTCATTAGAAAATAAATCTCTTCAGCGAATACAGAGTTCGCATTTAAGTCGCGATTTATTTGATTGTCTTACCGGCGTTCAAGATATGATACCATTGATTCCTTAATCGTGCTTGTCAATGGGAGACGTAGATTAAAATTAAAGAGACACAGAAATGTTCCGTAGGTTTTACAGGTGTCTCTCTCCTCATAATCGGAAATCACACAGGCAAACATTTTTGTAAGCATCGGAAGCTGACGACGCAAGGCAAATCTGATAAAGATGCTTTGACGCTTAATCTCGAATGCTCATCTAATTTCCTAAAGATGCCCACTAAACGGTCTTGTTTACTGTTGTTATGGACACTTTTTCCTTCATTTGGTATGGTATTTCAGCTGAGCATAGGGGCCAGGGTGGATAGGCGCAAGGTTGGGGGGGGGGGGG